GATTGGCACAGGACAGAGCGGAGTTTAGGGCTGTTGTACATAGGGTCGCTATGAGTCGCAGGCGACTCGACAGCACATAACAACAACAAACAACAACAACATGGAATTAAAAAAAGATCATCATTTTTGGCTATCTGTAGTCTAGAAAGAGATTGGTTTTTTTCAGAAGTCTATGTCATCCAGATGGCCATTCATTCATTCATTCACTTATTTAGAAAATCATTTGGGTTAAATATAGCTTTCTATAGACAGACTGATACAGTAGGTGAAATAGACACAAACATACCAACAATTACAGGGACTTCAAGACCCTGGGTAACATTTTGTTCTGCTATTTATTTAAGTTTGCCATGATTTGGAGCCAACACAATGCCAGCTACCAAGAAGACTATACAAAAACATTATGTATGTTTCAAGGCAGCACCCTTCCATCTAAACAGCATGCAAAAGATAAGTTGATAGGACATATTAAGAACAAGATTAGATTCTCATGGGAGAAGAGAAAGATGAGAAGAAATAGGGGGACAATAGTAAGACTTAGAAGAGGGACATTGCACATTCTGGAGATGATAACCACATTCTGTAGCTCAATTCTGAGTGCCTGATTTAGTAAGAATTAAACCTTAGACTTCCAAGAACAAAATCACATCCTCAATGTTCAGGACATCTCTGCTAATTCTTTTGCTAGTGGAAAGTACTCAAATATTAGGAAGGGTCACACAATACCAACTTTCTCCCATCATGTTGTTATTGCTGGGTATTGTTGAGTAACTTTTGACTCTTACAGACAACATGTGACAGAGTATAACCATACCACAGTATTATTTTGACTGGAATCTTTAGGGAAGCAGATTGCAAAGTCTTTTTTTCTGCCTCATTTCTTTTCTTCCAGGTGAGTTTGAAATGTCAACTTTTGGGGTAGCAGCCAAGGATTTAGCTGTGCGCACTTCCAGGATGCATTTCTTCTACTAAATTACAGATATCAAGAAACCAACATGACACTCTTACAGTGGTTCAGGACAGTACTCCTCTCCCCAACCCCACGTACAGAAATACAGGAACAGAAATGGACAGAGCCAGCAGGAAGACTGAAAGAATGCTGATCTCTCCAGTATTAACTATGGCAGGCAGAAATTAAGAGCAACAGAATATTAGACTGGAGAACAAAGACTCAATTGTTCTGTGCAAGGTGATCCCACATCTTACATCAGAAGAGAAGTTGCAGAATACAGACAGTTATGTTCTGAGAGGGCTTTCTGGCAAGACAAACTTTAGTGTTTTCTCAGCAAGAAAACTACGGGACAGGGTTGACCAATTCAGCAAAGTGGCAGGATATAAGATCAGCATACAAAAATCAGTTGAATTTCTCTACAGTGACAAAGAGAATACAGAATTGGAACTAAGAAAAACAATATGCTTCACAATAGCTAATCACAGGATTAAATACTTGGAAGTAAATATAACCAGAAGCACAAAGGATCTAGTCAAAGAAAATTACAAAACATTATTACAAGAAACAAAAAGAGACCTGGAGAAGTGGAAGAATATCCCTTGCTCATGGATAGGAAGACTCAATATTGTGAAAATGACAATAATACCAAAGGCAATTTATACGTTCGATGCACTCTCAATACAAATACCAATTCCATTCTTCAACGAGATGGAAAAGGCAACCTCCAATTTCATTTGGAATAAAAGAAGCCCCGAATAAGCAAAGCACTTCTTAAAAAGAGAAACAAGATAGGAGGCATCTCACGCCGATTTAAAATCCTACTACACTGCCGTGGTGGTCAAGGCAGCGTGGTACTGGTACAATGACAGACACATAGATCAATGGAATAGAATTGAGAATTCAGAAATCAGCCCATCTACCTATGGTCAACTGATTTTTGACAATGAAATGAAATCAGTTAAGTGGGGAAACGACAGCCTTTTTAACAAATGGTGTTGGCAAAATTGCAAAACTATCTGCAGAAAACTCAAGCAATATCCCACACCATACACAATAAACAATTCAAATTGGATCATGGACCTAGGACTAAAACAGGACTATAAACTTCATTAAAGAAAAGCTTGGAAGAACTCCAGAAGTCCTGATCCACAACATCAACAGTCTTCCAAGTATCCATAAAAATCTACAACCAGGAGAGGATAAAACAGATGAATGGGACATTCTAAGAATCAAATTCTTATGCACATCCAAAAACTTCTCCAATAGGGTGAAAAGAGAAGCCACAGACTGGGAAAAAATGTTTGGTAATGGCATGTCATATAAGGAATTTATATCTAGAATTCATAAAATACTCAAGCACCACAAGATAAATGTAAACAACCCAACTGAAAAATAGGCACAGGATATGAACAGACATTTCACCAAAGAAGACATTCAGACGATAAACAAACACATGAAGAAATGTTCAAAATCCTTAGCTATAAGAAAAATGCAAATCAAAACAACTATAAGATATCATCTCACCCCAGTCAGAATAGCAAAATTTAACAGAACAGCAAACATCAAATGCTGGCAAGGTAACGGAGAAACAGGAACCCTTATTCACTGTTGGTGAGAGTATAAAATGGTACAACCACTGTGGAAGGCAGTATGGTGCTTTCTCAAAAAGTTGCAAATAGAGATTACATTTGACCCAGCAATCCCACTACTGGGAATATATCCCAAAGAGACCATAACTGCCACCCAAGCAGATATATGGACACCCATGTTTATCGCAGCTTTGTTCACAATAGCAAAGAGTTGGAAACACCCCAAGCGTCCATCAATAAACGAATGCGTAGCAAAACTGTGGTATATTCACACAATGGAATACTACACTGCACTAAAAAACTAGGAACTCATGAAATATTATACAAAATGGATGACCCTGGAGAACATTAGGCTGAGTGAAATATCTCAGTCACAAAAGGACAAATACTGTATAGTGCCACTGTTGTAAAACAGGGCTGACATCGAGGGGGGGGCACTGAGAAAGATGGAATAAATTATGTATACTTCATTGAAACAGATGAGAGAGAAAACTATTTAAAAGGGATATATGATTAGGTTTGGAAGGAGGCGTGGCATCCACTTCCATAATAGCTTGCCTCCGGAAATCCTATGAACCTGGAGAGAGGAAGAAAGGCACCCAAGCGTCAAGGACTCTCCTTCATAGGGTCGCTATGAGTCGCCTGCAACTCGATGGTGCTTAACAACAACAACAACATATGATTAGGTATTATTGTCACGACAGGAGTCCAGAATGAAGGCTGCATAGTGGAGTGGACTTGGGAGGAGAGATTGTATAACAATGAAAGAATTTTTCTTTTACTTTTCAAAGAGAAGAGCTAATTGGGGGAGAGGGGGTGGGCAGGGAGAAAAGTGCAACAATGAATGAATGGGAATCCAAAGTCTCTGTAAACTTTCATTAAAATGAATAATAATAATTTCAAAAAGAAGATTAATCCTTCTCAAAGAAGGAAGCAAGCAAGAGAATAAGAATAAAGGAAGCAGCTCAGAAAAGTTTTCAGGAGCCCAAGTGATCAGAAGCACTGAAAAGGGAGGAGACAGCAGAAGAAGGACATGTTCCTGGTGACCAGTACTGCAAATGTCACTACCCTCTCCTCACATTCCATTCTTCACATCACTGCTAAAGTTTTCTTTCAATATGAACTTCAAAATCCCTCTCCAAATCCTTCTCATATGTCACAGTTTTCTGATTAATCTTACCTAAGAGCACAGGGCCAATATTGTTGTTATATGCCATCAAGTCAGAATCAACTCCTAGCTGAGCTGCTTTCCCACTAGACCCAAAAGCTTCAATCTTGCTAGATTACTATTGCAAAACAAAACAAAAAATGTCATAGATTTAAGGGTTCCCTTGCTTAGTGGTAAGAAGTTGTGGTGCCAACCCAAAGGCACCTGGTTCAAATCTTCCAGCTGCTATGGTGGGAGAAAGATGGGGAGTTTCTGCATCCAATTTACTGCCTCTGAAAACCTTGTGGAGGGTCAGCTATGGGTCAGTTCTGATTCGGTGGTGCACAGTAACAACTGCTTTACCAAAATAAGTATAATCTTCTTATTCTGACAAATTGTCACATCCAATAAATATTGACTGGCAGCTTAATGTACATATGTATGCCAGCTCCCTGGCCTCATGAAGCCCACACACTGGTCCAGTCAAATGACAGTTCCCTGACTATCATGCTACAGGTTGTACCTTATCCTCCACAGAACAGCTTCTTCCTCCTATTGGCCTTCTGGATTCAATAAACAACTTTGCTTATACTATTTTTATGGCCCTTTAATCCACTTTTCATGATCCTATGGTCTAATGTCTTCCAATTATACCTGCTGAAGTTAAGTACTGTGCTACAATCATTCAGTCAGGAATTATTTGTTGAAATAGAGTGACCACAGGTTATGAAACAGAAGGAAGAACCCAAAATTGTCAACCCAACGGCTGGAGTATTTTCCTTTATTCTCCTGTTTAAAAGGTGATACCTGAGTTTGCTTTGTGGTTTCAATGCCCTGGTGGAAGAACTCAGCAGTCTTGCATTACCAAAGCCCAGTGAAGAGGGCCGGCTCAGTGATTCAAGCGAGGGGCTCTTCCGGAGGTAAACGTCTGGCTTCAGGTCCTCAGCCCTTCCTTTAAGAAGATCTGTGTGAATAACATTATAATCACTCATTTCACAAGAAGAGAAATTTTATTGGTCATCATATTTTTATTTTCAAGTATGCTGTTGTTGTGTGCCGTCGGGCTGGAACCAACTCATAGCTGACCCTCCAGTGCATTTTCAGAGGGAAGAGAGTGCCCATCATTCTTCCATGGAGCAACTGGTAGACTTGGGGAGGAAAAAATAGTGTTTCACAATTTCTGGATTTAAAAAAATGCATATAGGAATAGAATTCTTCAGGCAAGGCTGCTTACATAAATTAATAGGCTCATTTTACAATTAAGGGGCTGTGGTGGGAGCATGTCACAACCTGCCAGCAATTCTTTGGAAGGAAGATGAAATGAATCATTTCCACCCACAAAGATCTACAGCCTCAGAAACCAGATGGAGGGTCACTATGAGTTGAACTAGACTCCAGGCCAGTGACTTTGGGCTTTCTTATTTCCAATTAAAGGGGCTTTTGGACACAGTGGTTAAGCACTATGTTGCTAAGTGAAGAGCTGGTGGTTCAAATCCACCAGCTGCTCCTTAATTGAAAGGCAGTCTGCTTCTTTAAAGACTTATGGTCCTGGAAACTCTATGCGCTGTGGGTTGCTGTGAGTTGAAATTGACAGTGGATTTTTGTTGGTGTCTAATTGTGAGGCAGTGGTGGCTCAGTGGTAAACTTCTAACCTCTTTGCAGGAGGCCCAAGTTTGAGTCATGACCAATATACATCATTGACAGTCACCATCTATCTATTGACTGGATGCTTGCGTGTTGTTATGATGTTGATCAAGTTTCTTTGGAACTTCCAGACTAAATTAGGAAGAAAGGCCTGATGATCCACTCCTGAGATTTGGTCAATGAAAACCCTGTAGATCATAAAGCCCTGATCCACAACTGCTCACAGGAACTGGGAAGGATTACTGTGAACACAGCGGCCAAGAACAACAAGAAAAAAGAATTGATGTCTATGAATTATGATGCTGGCAAAGAATATTAAATACACAGTGTACTGCCAGAGATTAGCCACAATTTGTTGTGATCCACACCATCAAATGCCTTTGCAGAGTTGATAAAATACAAATAGACATCATTCTGGTTCTCTCTGCTTTCAGTCATGATCCATCTGACATCAGCAATGACACCCTTAAGTGGTGCAACCTTTTCAAATTCCAGCTTGTATTTCTGGCAGACTGATGTACTATTCTAGTCATTTTTTATAATCTTCAGTAAGATTTTGCTTGCACATGATATTCATAATATCATTCTATAATTCTCACACTGTATAGGACCACCTTCTTTTGGGAATGGGAATAAATATGCAAGTCCAAGCTGCACTGAAGGAATTAGCTAAAATACCTGTTCCCTTGTTTATCATCTCTGTCTTACCGTGAATGTTCTTCTCCCAGGACTCACTGCTCCTGATAGCATGTCTAAAGTATTATTGGTTGTCAATTTATTTTAAAGTACTTATATCATTGCCTCTGGATGCCAATGTTTCTGAGGAGAAATTAGCATTTAAGTTTCTTGAGTATTTATGTATGTGACTATTGATTTCTCTCTCATTGTTTCCAGGATTATCTCCTTATCAGTATTTTTTAAAAGACTGAATATGATGCTTCTCAATGTATATCTCATCTAGGTTATTCTGCTTGAAATTCTTTGAACTTTTGATTTTGTACGTTAATGTCCTTTGTAAGACCATGGAAATTTTCTGTCATTATTTAATCAGACATTCATTCTGTCCCTTTTTCTATTCATAATCTTCCTCTGAAATTCCTATGTTGTATTTATTACAGCCATCTTATCCTCTAATTTGCTAATACAGCTCTTGATGTCTATAATTACACTGAACTTTGCTTAGACTCTTGACCCATTATTCTTGTTGCCCTTTAGCTTTTACAATTTCAACGATCTTATCCTCTAATTTGCTAATTCTTTCTTCTGCCTAACTACAATTATTGTTAAATCTTTCTAGTGTGTTTCTCATTTCAGTTGTCTCTGTAAATGGCAATATTTCTGTTTGGTGTTTTTGTGCCTTTTTAAAATTTCTTACTTCCTTTTAATGATTTTTATTTGGTTAGTGCATAGTTTTTCTTTCATTCATATTTTTGTTTCTGTCTTTCCTGAGCTCTTTAATTACGGACAATGTTGTTGTGTTGTATTTCCCCATTCTTTTCCTGATTCTCTCACTTTTGTCATTTGAGTGAGTTTTTTGTTCTTTCTGTATCTTGAGATTGCATGTAGGGGCAGTGGAAATTGTGTGTTTAACTCTCAGTTCTCTATAGAATTTAATGTTTATGCATTCACTACCTTTTGCAAAATACTGTTTAAGCAGGGAGGACCTTCTGTTTTTCTCATCTACTTTGTCTTCCTCTCTGTGATAGCTCCTCCTCTTTACCAGATTTAATAAAAATTCAAAAGTTCTTTTTTCTGTGTTCAACTTTCTACGTCTTCCAAACATACCAGGGAACATGATGCTATCAATCTTTTCACCAATGGGTATTACAATTCAGTGAAGATATCATGTACTAATTAACCTGTCCACCAAAGGGCGTGTCTCCTCTTCTCTGGTTATTACTTCCTCTCCTTCATTGTTTCTAAAAACCACATTTCAGTCAGAAAACCACACTCAGCTACCCTCTTCCGAAGCTTAGTGTTCTTTCTTCAGGTTTTCTACCTTGCTCCATGAAGACTGTTTATATCTGATCTGGAATTCAGGAAAAGTATAGACATACTTTCCTCCATTTCTGGAGAAAAGGAGGCGCACAGTCAGGTATTTCACAGAAGGCTCTACAGGGGCCTTGTAGTGAGACTCACCACTTCACCTCAACTAGGATGTGTTGGCCAGGTTGTGGAGAAAGCGGAACCCTTATCCACTGCTGATGAATTTAAAATTGGATGGCCACCTTTAAAAATCAGTTTGATAATTTCTCCAATAGTTGAATATTGTTGTTATTATGTGACTTCAAATTGACTACAACTTAGTGACCCTATAAAGAAGAGATGTGAACTTTGCCCTGCTTTGTGCTATCACTATCTCTGATATGCCTGAAGGTACTGTTATAATCATTGTGTCAATTCATCCTGTTGGGAGTCTTCCTTTCTCTGACCCTCAGCCTTTCCCAATATGATGTCCTTTTCCAAGGACTGGCCCTCCTGAGAGCATGCCCAAAGTAAATGAGGTGAAATTTCACTGTCTTTTTCTCTAAGGAGCACTCTAGTTATACCTTCTCCAAAACACATTTATTTGTTTGACAATCCATGGAGTAGTCAATACACTTCTTTAACATGACAATTCAAAGGCATCAATTCTTCCAACATCCTTATTCACTGCTCAACTTTAAGATGCACAGCAAATAAATGAGAAGACCATTGCTTGGACCAGGTACACTTAAGTCTTAAAATGGACTCCCTTGCTCTTTTAACACTTGGGTAGGTCCTTGACAGCTGATTTTCCCAATGCAAGATGTCTTTTAATTTCTTAACTCCTGTTACCAAGGGTGTTGACTGCAGAGCCAAGTAAAAGGAAATCTTTGACAATTTCAGTCTTTTATCCATTGATCATAATGTTGCCTATTGGCCCAGTGGAAAGGATTTTTGTTTTCTTGATTTTAAGATGTAATTAATATTGAAGTCTTTGATATTCTGTAGCAAGTGCTTCAAGCTCTCTTCATTTGAGCAAGCAGGGTTGTATCATCTGCATACAGATGTTTTTGATGAAATTCCTCCAGTCCTGATGCCACATTCTTCTTCATTTACTCTAGCTTCCCAAATTATTTTCTAAGTATACAGAATTAACAGGAGAAAGGATACAATTCTGACACATGCTTTTCCTGACTTAAACCATGCTGTGTGTTCCCTTGGTCTGCTGGTACAACAGATTCTTGTTCTATATATAGGTTTCTCATGAGCAAAATTAAGTGTCTGGGATTCACATTCTTTTCAAGGTTATCCATAATTTACTTTGTACCACATAGTGGATCATGGTCATTAAAACACAAGCAAATATCTTTCTGTATTATTCTGCTTTCAGCCCAAACCCACGTGACATCATCAATAATGTCCCTTCTACTACAGCCTCTTCTGAATCCAGCTTTAACATCTAGTAGTTCCCTGTCAATGGCTTCAGCCATTTTTAATTATCTTCAGTAATATTTTACTTACGTGTGGTATTAGTGATACTGTTCGCTAATTTGCACTTTCTGTTAGATCACCAGTTTTTATGTTTTGTTTTGTTTTTTTAATACAGATACTGAAAAGAACAGTGAGCAAAAAAATCCATTTTCTTCCACTGGCTGATAGTGCTAGGATTAATGCCTTACAGCATGTACTTATAACAAGTTGAAATTGCTTAGAAAAATGTTATTAGTTGTTTTTCCAAGCTCTGTTTTCTGTAAAGAAAAGGGAAAAAGTTACCTCAACAAGAAAATAGGTCAGAAGCACTTAGCAATTGAGGGGCTGTACCTGTAAGAGGGAGGTCTGGAAGATCCAGGCGCTGAGTGCTTCCTTTGCTGGCTGGCTGTGTACTGCTGTATGCAGAATGTCTCTATAGAAAAGTCAAAGGAACCAGCATGTGTGAACTTGTACAACAAGCAGAGCATGAACGCAGGTGTAGGGGTATGTGTGTGGGGACTTACAAAAGACACATTTATTTAATAGGTAATTAATGCAACTGACTATACTAAAAAGCAACAGAAAGAGTCTATGAAAAGTCTATCTTTAACAACCATCATCCAGTTCTTTTCTGCTTTAGGAGCAGTTACTATTAATTACATTCAAGAGTATCTTGCTTACATTTATGTTTTTATGTGCCATCATGTTGCCTGCGACACAGAGACCCTATGTATGACAGCCCTAAACCCTGCTCTGTCCTATGCCAATCTTATTGTTTCTGACACACCGACCCCCGTTACTCCAGTCACTGAATTAATCCATCTCGTCGAGTGTCTTCCTCTTTTGTGCTGTCCTCCCTCCACCCTCCCATACATGATGCTTCTCTCTAAGGATTGGTCCCGCTGGTCCTGCTTTGGGTGTGTGTATAAAACACTACTTTTTAAAATACAAATTTTTTCCTTTTTATTGTGATTTGAGTGAAAGATTATAAAGCAAACTGGTTTTCTATTCAGCCACTAATACACATCTTGATTTATAACATAAACTCTAACACCCATGAGTACACCAAAGAGTAATCATACTCTTTCCACTTCTTCCCTGTGATTCTCATTTACGTTAATCCTTCCATTCTGCCCCTTCTTACCCTCCCAGCTTTATTCCAGAGCAAATGCTGCAAATGCAGAGCAAGCTTGTGTGCTTGGCGATTCTAAGGAGTGTTCACCCTACCGGCCTGTCTTTGTGTGGCTCAAAGTTCAGTCACAGAGCATTTTGCTCCAAATTCAAAGGGCCATGTGTTCAGGGATTTCAGCAGTCTGGACTGAGAGCAGGAAGCCAGAGCATTGCTGGGTTTTGTTCCACATTTCCCCTCACTCTGTTCAGGATCTTCTGCTGCAATCCCTCTTAGAGTGGTCAGTGGTTGTACCATCTAGCTCTTCCGGTCTCAAGGCTGAGGACTCTGAGGTTTATGTGGTCCATCAGTCCCTTAGACTAAGTGTCTAAGTGCATCCACAGAGGAAGAGACATAGGGAGAGACCAGCAGTTGGACCTTGATGGCTGCCTGCAAGCTCTTTCAGCCCCAGCTGCTCCTCATCAAAGTAGGATGCAGAACATGATATCTGTAGATCATTATGCTGACTGACCTCAATACGGCTGGACCTTCCAGCTGTGTAGACACTGCTGTTGCCACTGCCCTAATGGGTTCTCACGGCACATGGACAGCTGCTCAAGGTGGCTGTTCGGTGCTCTCTCTGGTTCTGCGTTCTCTTGCTCTTCTTATTCAATGTTTCAGTTCAGATACACAACCCCTTCAGCTGCTGTGGATGCTGCCGTGGCTGCCCTGCATTCCCTGATTCCCAAGCCGCGTGGAGAGCTGTTCCAGACGGTCAGCTGTACTCTGTATGGTTCTGTTGCTCTCTAGTCATTGTTTCAGTTCAAGCCCTTCCTTGAGTCAGTGCTTGAAGTAGTTCATCTTTTATTTTTAAACTGTGGATTGAAGAACTCTTGTCCCTGTCTGTCATCTTTGCTGGTGTCTTCAGGGCAGAGGTTCTGAACTACTATCTGGCTACTTTGCCACCTTGGAACAAACAGAACTATCATTTAAGCCATAATGCCAACCCTAAGTGTACACACAGAGTAAATAATAGCAGGAACATAAACAGAAACCTAGATGCCAATGTCCACAACCATGATGGGTAGAAACAATCCAATTAATCATCAAAAGATAAATGGACAAGATATGGTATATGCATACAATGGACTACTACTCAGCCATAAAGAGAATGAAGTCCTGATTCATATTACAGATGCCCTTGAATATGTCGTGCTCAACAAAATAAGTCAGTCACAAATGGACAAACACTGTGTGATAGCACTTAGATGAAATAAGCAAAAAAATAGAAACCAAAGATTATTAGTGAGTATAAGAGTGGGAGGAGGAGGGAAGAGAATATCTTTCTTAGAGGGTGCTGACTGTTAATAGTGTGGAATGATTCGGAACAGGATAGCATGAATAGCTGTAAAACATGAAGAATGAAATCTGAGTTGTGGAACTGTACATGTGGAAATTACTGAGTTGGAGTCTATTTTGTTATGCATATTTCCACTACAATTAAAAGCAAAATAAGAAAAAACTGGTCCTGAACGAGGCTGAATCTTCCTCCAAATGATACTTCTAAAGGATCACTAAAGTATAGAAATGAAGTTTCAGATTTTCTGGTTGATCCATGCCCAAAGAATTAAGTGACTTGCTCAGTATCAAAGAAGTCATGGATAAGGCAAAACTCATTGCTACTTATTACATTAGAAACAGTCATGGAAGAAAACAATGTTTCTACAGCTAATAGTCCTCAATTATGGCTAGCAAAATTGGCAGTAAGGATAATTAGTTCTTAAAGAGCAGAGAATAACAGTGTTTATATCACTAAAGAAAACAACAAAACAACAGTTCTGCAGCTTCTGCTGACCTCAGAGTTGGTAAGGCTAGCCAGAAAGCAACCAATTTCCACTGTATAATTATTTTTTTATTATAGTAAATATAATCATCTAAGTAGACAGGTGCTTGGTAGGGGCAAAGAGGTAGAAGTGTCAAGAAACTATTTCAGAGAAATAGCTACTGTATTCTTAACCTTAGTACTTATCTAAAAATATGATCAAAAGCTTATTTAGATGTATAAAACCAAGCAAAAACAAACCCACTGCTGAAGGGGAGAATCAAGTGTCAACTTGGTGACAACCCCCCGCCCCCTGCCTGAGTATTCTATGGTATAAATCTTGAAGGGAAAGGACTGCTCATTTTTCTCCCACAGAACAGCTGCTGGATTCAAACCATGGACCTTTAAGTTAGCAGTCTCACATATTACTCACTATGCCACAAGGGTTCCTCTTCTAGGAGGATGTTGTTGTTGTTAGGTGCTGTCAACTCAACTTCAACTCACAGTGATCCTATTAACAATGGATCTGAACTTTGTCCTGTCTTGTGCCACCATCAGCATCTCTGATATACTTACTTGAGTCCTTTGTTACAGTCATTGTGTCAGTCTATCTTGTTGAGAGTCTTTCTCTCTTTCTCTGACTTTTTACCTTTCCATGCATGATGTCCTTCTCCAAAGATTGGCCCGTCTTAACAACAAGACTAAAGCATGTGAGGTGAAGTTTCTTTCCAGGAGCACCCTAGTTGCATTTTTTCCACGATAGGGAAGTTTCTTTTATTGGTGGTCTATGGGATATTCAGTACTCTTTTCCAATATCACAACTTAAAGGCTTTAATTCTTCTTAATCTCCATTCAATTTTCGGATGTATTAAGAAGTAATAAAAAAGAACATAGCTTGGATCAAGACACCTTAGTCTTTAAACTGATATCATTGCTCTTTGGTACTTTCGAGAGCTTCCTGATAGCAGATTTTCTCAGTGCAACTTGTCTTTTGATTTCTTAACTGCTAGTACCAAGGGTGTTAACTGTGGATTAAAGTAAGATGAAATAGTTGATAATTTAAATCTTTTTTCATTCTATTATGATATGACCTGTTGGCCTAGTGGTGAAGATATTTATTTTGTTGATGCTGAGATGTAACCAATGTTGAAGCCTGTAGTCTTTGATCTTCTGTAACAAGTGCTTCAAGTCCTCTTCACTTTCAGCAAGCAAAGCTGTGTATAATGCAGGTTGTTAGTCTTCTTCTGATCCTGAGGCCACATTCTACTCCATGAAGTTCCAGTTTCTGAATGTTTTGTTCAGCATACATATTGAATAGGTATGAAGAGACAGTAAACCTCTGACACACACCTTTTTTCATCTTAAACTGTGCAGTGTTTCCTTGTTCTGGTCACACAACAGCCTCTTGGTCTAGGTATAGGTTTCACACGTGCACATTAGGTGTTCTGGGATTTCCAACAATTCCACTGCTGGGAATATACCCTAAAGAAACCAAATCTACGACCCAAGTGGACGTATGCACACCCATGTTTATTGCTGCATTATTCACAATAGCAAAGGCATGGAGGCAACCCAAATGCCCATCAACAAACAAATGGATAGAAAAACTACAATACTTCCACAAAATGGAATATTATGCAGCACTGGAAAAAATGAACTAAAAAAATTACATAACATGAGGGAACCTGGAGGACATTATGTTGAATCAAATATCTCAGTCACAAAAGGCCAATTACCGCATAACACTGTTGATATATAAAATAGGAGAGATACGGGGTTCAGGGGAGAGATGGGAAAAGAGTGGATAAATAATGAACACTACATTAGAACAGATGAGAGGAAAAACTATGTGAAAGGAATATACGATTATATGTATGATAATATGGAACAAGGGTGTACTGAAGGGGAAAGGGAAGGGGAAGGCAGCAGGGGAAGAAAATGTGCAAGAATGAATGAAAGGATGGTGTAGGAAAAGGCAAAATTCAGATCTGTGGTTCATAGGTTCGCTCTGAGTTATAGTCGACATGATGGCACCTAAATAATTTTTGGAAAGGCAAGAGAGACAGCGAAAGAGAGGAAGATTCCCTACCAGCTGGATTGGCACAGTGACTGTAGCAATGGGCTCCGGTGTGTCAGCAATTGTGAAGATGACACGGGATAGGACAGGGTCTCTATGAATTATATATTTGATTTGACACTTAACAATAGCAATAACAATAATACAACAATGTTGTTTAGTGCCACACAGTCTACTTCAACTCATAGCAACCCCATATCACGGAACAAAATATTTGGCTAGTGGTGCAATAATTAAGCAGTTGACCAGTAAATGAAAAGTTGATAAGGACATTAATCTTCACTCAGCAGCAGTGGTATGAAAGCGTTAAAAGCCCTTGACTTAGAAACACTCAAGAAGCACTGGTTCCGAACCCCTTTGATGATGGCAAAGACGGCAGAACAAGCCAAGCGTGCTCTGAGAATTTATGTGTTGTAAATATTCTCTCTCCTTGGAGTATTTTAAAAAAGGAAAAAATTCAACAGTTCTTTGAGATTTTTTTGAGCCTCATTTTAATAAAAATACAATTTTTATGTAATTGAAAATTTTCAAAGTGTCATCTTATAGGAAGCAAATAATGGCAGCAAACAGAATTGTCTGAAGTTTGCAGTGTCACTGTGGGATCTTATTGTTGTTAGGTCAGGTCAAGTTGACTCTGCCACATAGCACCCTATGAACAGCGGATGTGAAGCCTGCCCTTATCCTGCACCATCCTAGCTTCTCTGCACTGCCCAAGCCCGTTGTGGGAGTCACTGTGTCAACCCATCTTATTAAGAGTCTCTCTTTCTCTCTTTCACAGACCTTCCACCTTTCTCAGCATGATCACTCTCTCCAAGGATTGGTTCCTCCTGAAAATACACTCAAAGAGTGGTGAAGTTTCAGAGTCTTTGCCTCTGGTTGTTCAGTCTTGTCAGTTCCTTTGGCAGTCCAAAAGTCCCCTTTGTCAACACCACACTTCAAAGGCAACAGTTCTTCTTCAGTCTTTTTTATTCATTGTCCAACCTTCAGATACATAGGAAGCCAGTGAAAATGCCATGGCTTGGATCAGGCTCACTTTAGTCTTTAAAGTGACATCCTTTCTCTTTAGCACTCTGGAGAGGTCCTTGAGAGATTTCCCCAATGCAACACGTCTTCTGATTCGGTGACTGCTGCCACTATGGGTGCTGATTATGGATCCAAGCAAAATGAAATTGCTGACAACTTCAATCTTTTCTCCATCTATCATAATGTTGCATGTTGAAAACCTTATGGGACCATGGACAGGCTCCAATGGGGAATGTTTTTTGGTGGGAATTTAATTATTATTATTATTATTATTATTATCTTATTAATAATGATGTTTGAAAGAAAAAAAAGCCATCAGTCTGTTATCACTTCTCTGCGGTAGCTTGAACACAGGGTCATCATGGTACCACCTAACCACAGACAATCCTCTCATACCTGGATGGGAGAGACAGCAGCCGCCGGAGCAGTCCTCACTGGAATTCCACTTAGGGGACTCCGGGGGACCTTATGAACAGAAATATTCTGCCCCACTCCCCCTGTCAAGAAAAGAAAAATCGATATTTGTATGTTGTTCCAGTTTTAATTTGCCATTGTTTTTTGATGACTAAGAAAGTATTCCACAATACTTTGTATAATGTTTCTCTTTTATCTATTTCTTTTTCTGGGAAGTGACAAGGGAAGAGTTCCTTAAATGGGGCTTGGCTTTAGATGGAGGAAATGGAAGAAAACGAATGTAATAAAACAAGACAAGGAAGGATAGGAAAGCCCTTACCAAACATTATTGTTAACCCATTTCCCATCCTCACAGATGGTATTTACTTAAAGGGATTTAATATAGTTTCATCTTTGTAGCTTAATCTTGGTCTTAATTTAACTAAGTTGGTCTATTTTAGCAAAAACAATAAGGTACATACTAGAGTTAGCTATTACTGCAGTCTTCAAACACAATGGGCTTATCTGGTACAGTCAGGGCACATTCTGTTTCTATTTTTATGTGTGTGTACATAATAACAACATGCATAAAATATAGAACAGTATTTTGATCATATGTACGGGGGGCTGAGGGGAACCAAATGAAGAGAGACTGCCAGTCAGTAAGACAATTGCAGAAAAAGCTGGAAATGGATCAAGATCAGGAAAGGCAGATCAGCACAGGGGTTGACACACAATACAAGGTAGAGAAATGCTTCACAGTACAATGCACGATGACAATTGCCCCAGTTCCTGAGAAGAAAGCCACACATATAGACTCCATTCAACACTCCATCTCCTAGGAGATAAAGCTGTGGGCTTACTTTGTTAATTCTCATGAGATAGTAATAAGGCCAGAAGTAGTGAGCTGAATTTAATGGACAGACACAGAAGAAAGAAATGGCCAAGCAGAAAGTGGAGTTAAGGTGGAGGGGAGAGGAAATCAAGCTTGTAATAGACATGAGCCACTCTCTCCACTCCCTTACTGGAGCCTCAGTCAGAGCGTGCCACACATCTCAGGCTCCTGCCAGCAGTGGCTATACATGGAATAATCTAGAACTAGTCCTTCTGATTGTCTGGGGCCATCATACAGTAGAGACAAGCTTGGCACACTGAGCCAAGCTCTGAAGTTTTGTTTGTGAAATAAAAAGTTTAAATACCTGGATGTCCCAAGTCAAATGACTTGATAAGTGACTTAACAGTGGTTACAGATTCTGCAGGTGTTGGGGACGTTCTGCTAACATAGACACCAAGCCACCGGCCAGCACTGTCCACTTCGGAGCACTCTGATTCTTCATTTACAGGTCTGCACAGTAAAAAGCAAATCAGATTTAAAAGATGGAGGACATTCCTATAGGAAGAAGGCACAGGTGGAAATAAAACAAATGAGGAGAAAATAAACAGATGTGGAAGGAGGGTCCTAAAAGTAATGCCCTTTTTTTTTTTTTATCAACCATAGGTACTACTCTCAATTTCGTAAAGGATATCTTCTTAGGAATAGTTAGAAATAATTTTATATGTTAAATGACTTGACATTGTTGTTAGGTGCCATCAAGTATGACTCATAGCGACACTGTGAAGAGTTGACGTGGCCCCTGTCTTATCCTGTGCCACCATCATCTCTGACATACTGGAACCCAGTACTGCAGTCACCATGCCAATCCATCTCGTTGATATTCAATTGAAATTAAAAAGTTTATGAGTCCTCTCCGCAAACTAAAAACCATACAGATATTCTCTTCAGCTCAGTGGACACAACGGATATCTTGCAAGCTGTATTTCAAAAGCAGCCTAGAATTCCCATTGTCACCGAGTTAATTTCGTTGGCAGCTGAGTACTATAGCCAGATCAGTAACAGGGTTCCTTGACAAAGTATTAGCATGTTAAGTTAGGCCACTAACTGAAAGGTTGGTGGTCCAAACCCACCAGTCTTTTCTGTGGGAGAAAGATGTAGCTATTTGCTTCTGCAGTCTTCAAGATGGACTACAGTTCAACATCAAGAAAACAAAAGATTCCCACCAATTGGCAGTGTCATGCTAGATGGAGAAGTGATTGGGATTGTTAGCAATTTTGGCTTTCTTGGCTCCACAATGAACACTCGTGACACCAGCAGTCAGGAAATGAAAAAATTAGTTACATGAGGAAAATCTGCTGTCAGGGACCTCTCCACAGTGCTGATAGCAACAATATCAGTCTAGACACTGAGGTGTGCCTGATCCAGGCCATGGACTTCACAATTACTTGCTATGCATCAGAGAGCTAGACAATGAGTAAGGATGACAGAAGAATCGATGCCTTTGAGTTGTGGTGCTGGAGAAGAGTATTGGACGGCTAGGAGAACAAACGGGTCTTTCCTGGAGAGGGTGAAACCAGACAGTTTCTTGGAGACAAGGATTTTTAAATTCAGTCTTACAAACTTTAGGCACATGGCCAGGAGAGACCAGTCCTTGGAGAAAGACATCATTTCTGTGGTAATGGGGCAGATGTGTCAGGGACAGTGAGATTAGCTCAGGTTAGGATAGGGTTCAGAGCTCCTACACAGAGGGTTTTTATGAGTCATAGACGACTCAATGACACATAACAGCAACAACAACAACAAAGGCGGTAGCCTTGAAAATCCCATATGGCAGTTCTGACTGACAGAGTTGCTGTGAATTAACTTGGTACCAAGGGTTTGGTTTGTCATCACAGAGACAGTGTGGGGAGCACTGCTGGTGTATCTGTAGGGAGTGGTGCTGCTAACCCAGAGGTGGGGTCTCCATGGTAGTTCAGATCTACGGGGTGGCTCCATAGGAGAAACACAGGGCGTGTCCTCCTGTGAGGATTAGTCTCCTGAAAACCTTCTGTAGGGACAGGGATAAGTCAGTTCCAGCTTGAGGGCAGTGAGTGAATGAGCAGACCATAAACTGCTGGGCAAGATCTGGATCTGGGCCTGGACCTGACGCGGGGTGAAGAAAAGCAAGGGTAAGGATCACCATGTTAACAACAGGCTGCAGCAGAGATGCTTCTTGTGCTGGTCCCTAAAGTGTCTGTAGCTTCCCTGTTGGCCAGAAGCCTGGCTGGCTCACTTCCTGTGGGGCTGCTCCCTGAAAGGCTGCTGCTCCACAGGACAAAGAGAAAGTGGTCTGCTCACAAGGTTTGCAGAAACCTGATTAGGGCCTCAAGAGTCAGAACTGATAGCAGTGGGTTGGGTGTAGGCTTGCTGCTGTTTGGTTTTGTTCCTGGCAGAGGCCATAGTCCCCCTTGCAACTCTGTTCTGTGTTGTACATTTGGGAACTATTCCTGGAAACTTTGCCTCAAATCTCACATAACTTGATAGGGGGCTCTGCTGGCCTAGTTGTAAGGAGCTGTGCTGCAATCCCAAAGGCACGCAGGTCAAACCACCAGCTCCTCCACGGCAGAAGGATGGGCAATCTCCTCCTGTGGAATTTTACTGCATCGGAAAACCTGCTAGAGGGTCAGCTGTGGGTCAGTTCTGACTCCACGGTACACAACAAGAAGCTTAAATCAGGGGAGCTCTGACGGTGCATTCTGTGGGGACTTGTGGTGTTAACCCAAAGGCAGCCCCATTCTGGTAGTTCAAATCCACCAGCTGCTCTGCGGGAGAAAGATGGGTTGCCTCCTCCTGTGTGATTTTCAGCTATGAGTCAGCTCTGACTTCATGGCATTGAGAGAGACATTTTAACCAACTAGAGTGCAAGCTATTTTCTAGAAAAGAATCTTAATTTATGCTCTGGGTGATAATATGATAACAGCAACCTAAAACAACATGGCAGTTCTACTTGTACCATCAAACTTCAGTGTGGATTCGAAACTCAAATACAGACTCACTTAAGGGTTTCTGAAGACAGATCTGCTCACAAATGGCTTGGCTTCCTCATCAGTGGGCTGAACATGTCACTTAACCTCCCTGTGAATGAGCCAAGACAAGAACTCCCAGCCTTTCAATTTCTAAACCAATTTGCCAAGACTCTTTCACGAGATGACTAATGTATAAGAAGTGCTCAAAGAGACTATCTCTGGCAATATAATAAAGTCAGTGGGGCTTAAAATACTTATTTACTGATTGTTTTGAAACTGACCTAACTAGTCATATGGTTCTGTGGTTGAATGTATCTAATTCAGTAAATTTCCTCCTTTTGTTCTTTAACAATATGAAGAGAATATATTTAAGTGAAACAATTCAAAACACTTGATATACTTTACACATTTACTCTGGCTTCCACAGCCTCTTCTTGGAGTGGAAAGCATGCCATAAATGCAGGAAATCAAAGACTGCTTTAGGAGAAATAAATATCTGAGGTGTGTCAGAAATTGGGGGTTGGTTTTTCTATTTTTCCATTTTTGACACACACAGGAAGAAATCACCTTAGGTACAGACAGGGGGGAAATTTCTCCTCTTCCCATCCCATCTGTTCTCAGGAAGGTTATAAGCAGATGGACCCCTTCCTTACTGGTCCAGTTAGTGACCTGGTACTAGACTGGCTTGTAGAGAAGCTCACAGCACTACCTGAAGAAAGACCATTGTGAAAAACTAATGTTTATTCCATTCATTGATAATTTATTAAGAATAAAATGAGAGATTCTGCATATTGTTGAAGCATTCCCTTCAATAATCTTCGTTACCCCGTGATTAATAATACCAAATCATAAAGAAGATTCATTTAGATCATAAACAAAGCTTCAGAAATCTATTTCCAGTATTCAAACATCTAAAGACAGTATTTTAAACAATTCGTCAGCTTAGCTAGTATACTCAGTGAATATGAGAAAATCCCATAAATTATTTAGTTGATTAGAAAGCTTACTGGATGAAATACCTACCATTTACATAACAGCAATTTATGTGCATATATGAGAAGGAAGGTAGCAGAAGTCACAAAGTCTCAAAGTAAAATACACAAAAATAATTATTAAGATTTCTATTGATTTTAGCAATACTTTAATCATAAATAGGCTTCAATATCTTTCTTCAATCTATCTCAGAATTGGTTGGAGTCAACCAGCAACAGTCCCAACATTATATATTTCCTCTGTTCCAAAAAAGAATAAGGACTCCACATTCTATCAAAATAGTCATAGCATAAGATAAGGGAAAGGAATGAGAACATACAGCAGAGGAGGATCAGACATTGTAGGTATTGTAAATTAATAAAATAAAACAAATTGTGTTCAAATGCTTGAATGAAAGAGTCATAATATGCCCTAGAAGAAACTTTGACTCAAAAAACAGTAGGAAATTGAAAAACAAAGTACACTTTAAAAAAGAAAACATTATTTAACCATATAATCAGTTTTATCCTAACAAAGTCATTAAATAAAGGAAGGTAACTTGCTATTGACTAATGCAGCTGTTGGGTTAGCCTGTAAGAGAAAAGTTTATGTATAGTCAGATGAGCCATGAAAATTCCTTACATCACTGACATATATAGCTAACGTGGCTTTGTAAGTAGAACTAAGCATGCCAACCTCTAATTAAATACTTCTCCTATGGCATTTAGCCATAGGGAAATTATGGTCTTCAGGTATACCTCTGATGAAATAGATGACTCGTTTTGGAATCTAAATTGAAACAAAAAATGAAGCATGCTTTTATCTTACTGCACCATGTATAACTGTAATAATAACGAATTTCAACATGTTAAGTATGTGTATGATGCACTCTCACTGTATATACACTGAGCCATGAAAGAATTTGTTTGTAATAAAAAAAAGCAAACATCATAATTCATTGGCCAACTCTGCAACAAAAGCTCTCTTTACAGTATTAAAGAGCAAAGATGTCACTTTAAGGACTAAGGTGTTTCTTATTCCAGCTATGGTTTTCTCAGTTGCTTTATATGCATGTACAAATTGAACATTAAGTAAGTTGAGAATGAAGAATTAATGTCTTTGAATTATGGTGTTGGTGAGGAATATTGAATATATCATGAATTGCCAGAAGAACGTACAAATCTGTCTTACAAGAACGCAGCCAGAATATTCCTTAGAAGAGGTGGCCTCTGTCTTGCTTACTTTGGCCATATTATCAGGAGAGATCAATCCCTGGAGAAGGACATCACGCCCAGGAAAGCAAAGGTCAGAAGAGGAAGACCCTTGACATTGACCATCACAGTGGCTGCAAGAACTGACACAAGGCTCAGCTACATCAGTGACTGAAGCTGACACAGGACGGACACTGGATTGTTCTGCTGGATACAGAGTCACTATGAATTAGAACTAACTAGATGGCACCTAACAAGGTCTATTTAAAACATCTACATTAATTTTTCTAAAACTCCGTTAAGTTACTCTCCCTTCATGTCT